ACTTCCTTCTTCAGACTTTTGTTGATCTTCAACACATCTTAGAGTTTCAACACTTGGGGTTCAAGCCTATTGAAGATCTTCTGGAAGTGGATTACTTGATTATAAGCAGTAACCAACTATTCATCCTTTGCATAAGCAGTAGAACAAATCTCAGAAACGGCATGCTCAAGATCTTGAATCTGAGGTATGTAACGACCAATCTTCTTCTATTCACTTTCATACCTAACTTGGATTACATCGAGCCTAGTCTTCAAGTCAACGATCTCCTGGTGAGTGGTCTTAAGCTGTAGAGAAGTGGGGGCAGATATATCAAACTTTTTCAAAGCAATAAGCTCAAACTCCAACTTTTTTATCTTCTCAGCATAAGAATGAGCCTCAGTTGCCATAGTTGTTACCATCTTCTTGGCAGCCTTGGTATCCTCTTGGTCAAGAAGCATAGACTCAATTGACAGAATCACTGTTTTCTGCATCATGGCAAGCAACGTAGTCCTTCTATATTCGGTTGTATGCTTCGCAAAGGAATTTGGGCAAACAACCCTTTTAATGCCCTAAATAAGCTTGGCACACGCGTCCATGTCTTCAAGCAAATCAAGCTTCAAAAGTGCACAGATCTCAGCAAACTCTCTAGAAACACGCTTGGTGGATTTCTCACAACTGTCCATGCAAGCAGTTTTCTCTTTCTCAGTAAACCAACTAGTCTTAATAGCAAGAAGAATAAGCCCAGGTGCCACTTTAGTAGCAGAGACCACCTCTCCAAAGGTGAACCAGACTTAGCTCCTAATAGATGTCTTGGTATAGACTTCAACACTTGGGGCACGACAAAACCTCTAAGCTGAGCAACCTTATCAGCAATCGTACTAGCTATCTTTAGCATGGTAGGCATCACATGCTCAGATTTAGCAGCCTTATCTTTCTTCCATTTGGAAGAAGTCAAGTCAATCACAAGCCTCTCGGCAGAAGGCGGACCCTCACGAGCAGCGAAAAAGCAGCGAAAAAAGTCTTTGATTTTTTCTTAACTAGCATCTCTTAAGCATGCGAGGAAGATCTCTTCTTTCCAATTTTATTCACAGCAGGCTCCACAACAATGATTGGACTAGCCAATGCCTCTACCTTGATCCTCTTTATCTCATCTCTCGAGGTAAGCCTACCTTTCTCCCGATGAAGAAGACTAAGCAACCAACGCCATTCACAATACTCAATACGGATACCTAAAGCAATGTGCACTTTCTTCATATCTGGAGAAGTCTTTGCAGTTGAGCCAAATTTCAAATCTATATGGATAGAAGATGACAAACAATATATTAGATAACAGCTTAGCAAAAGCACAAAGTAGCCTGAAAACCAAAAAGTTTACTTATCAGTGATGAAAATCATCAGAATACGCAGTTCAGGGTAAGATTCAAACTCTCACTCTTTACTTATCTCCAAAGTCTCCTTGGCCCAATCATGATTTCCCTTGCTCGAATGATCAAAGAGCTTATGATAGGATTGCTGCTGCCCAACTTCATCAATATGGCCTATGTCAAAGAAGTACCAGAATTCATTGATAGTCAGATCCAAGTCAAAGAATTGGCTTAGATTGAGGAATCTTACCATCACGCTGACCGCATTGGGAGAATATTGAGCGGGGGCACACTTCATGGAGTAAAGTACTTATTGGAAGAAACGCGGCATGGGAAAGGTGAATCCTAATGACACGCCCCGATCCCGATGTCCGAAGGACAACAGGATGGCCACGTGCTGGGCGACACTCGAGGGTGATGCAAGCCATTTTATAAATGCATATGTTGAGAACATGTGAAACATGCATATCAATTTCACTCATAACTACGTAAAGTAATATTCAAATATAACCTTAACAAAATAATATAATAAGTTCAACTGCCAACAAAATAAAAGTGATAATGCATGACATGTATAGAGCATACTACTAATTCAGAATACAAGTGGAAGATGTAACAGAAAGTGTTATTACAAGAATGTCCAAGCGGAGAGAATGACACAAAGTCGTTGGTATGGAAATGCCTCATAGCTCAGATTGTATGCCTCTTTCCTAGGTCCTGAGGGGGTGCAAAACAAAACATGAGTGGACCAAGTTGATATATAAGTAATACTGAAACAGTTATTCATCAACATATTAATCCCCAAAGTTTAGAAAACTCATATGGTATAATAAGTAATAGGTTTTCTGAAAACCCTAGCATGCTATAAAACCTTTCATAAAACATATATCATATATATTGTGCTTAGTAGTGTTATCATAATTGACTGAAGCCGCTACATCACCCGACCGAAGCCAAATAAAAGTATTAATTGTCCGCAGGCGCATAGTATAGATAACCACTAAGTAAGCACATAAAATCATGAACATAATCTTTCCAAAATATATCTTAATCGAAGCTCAATAGCTCAAACATCATACCATAAATCTTAGTAATAGTTATTCGATAAAGCATGATATTTCATAAAGCGTAAATCCGATTTACTCATAGACGTTTCATAAAATGTAGTCATAAAATCATGCTTTCATGTATGCATTTCTAATAATTAAAACATGCATTTTGGAAAGGGTCCACTCACAGATACTCCGTCGTCGAAGAGTAGTGTGAACTAGGTAGGACGAAAATGCCACTAACAAACGCACCTAAGCACATAAAGTGACCAATTAATAAAACTATACTAAAATGATTGAATTTCATGAAACGGATGTCATAAACAGATTTAGGACGTCGAAAAACCTAAGGGGGAACCTCATATACCCCCATGCGCCACCACTTACCAAGTTGGGTCACCTGAAAGTTGGCTAAAAAAGTCACCGGCACTGCCGTGGTTGCCGTCGTGGACGGTGACGAAGCATAATACCTTCGGTGGAGGTGCATGTTCTCCACACAATGGCCAAGATAGGCACCCATGGGAGCCCACGCACAGGCCCAAGCTTGGACCCACACGCTGACTAGAATCTGGGATCCGATCAGGTCAGGTCGGATCTAGGTTTTGGGTTTGGACTTGGTTCTAGGTTGGGCCGATTTTTCGGCTTGGGCCGAAGGTTTGGGTTTGAGATGGGCTGGACAATTGGGTCAAGTAGTAACCTGGGTTTGAAATCGAATTTGAGGCTATCGAGTCGAGTCAACCCGATTTCAAGCCGTGGATCGGCCGATTTCTAGGTAAACCTTCAAACGCTCATAACTTCTTCAATACTCAACCAAATCAAGTGATTCAAAAATGAAAATCATAGTTCTCAATGAGAGGAAGAGAATGGTACCATGCATGACTAACTCACCGTGGTTTGGCTGAAAATTAACCTGGAAGTCATGAGTTCTTACAAGAATATAGGGAAAGCTACTCCAACCTAAATTTGCATTTAACAAGCGTGTAAAAATTAAAACAAGCTTTGATGTAAGCTTAAATGATACCCCAAAGGTTTCTAGGAACTTATCCACGTCGAGAAAATCACAAAAGTCGTCGGAGTTCATCGAGGAAGGGATGCATCGTGACTGTCACGGTTGAAGTGTCAAGCTTTGGCCTAGGGTTTCAAGGTCCTATGTCCAAGCAGTAAGTTTTGTGTTTGTTGTTGTGTGAGTGAAGCTCAAAGAGGAGAGGGAGAGTTTGCAGAGAAGAGAGAGCTTGGGGGAGTCTTTAAGGGGACAAGGGAGAAAAAATGATGGGGAGAGAGAGAGATAAAAAAAATTTGAAAAGTAAGGGGGAAAATCTGAATAGGGACAAGGATAAGGGGACAATAATCCCCATGTGGGTCCCATAGTTCACAAACTCAGAACACTAAAAGTGAAGCACGAATTATTCGAAAAACGTCTAACGTTTCGAAACGTAAATTCGCGCCTACGCATTCGTGGTGATGAGTACGATACGAATAAATTAATAAATTTGAACTACGCATTTCAACAAGACGGTCAATGAAAGTCAACTCAAGGATACAATGGTAATTTCATAAGTCCGATAGTACAAAATATGATAAACCAAGGACGGGGTTTCACACCCAACACGAAGCAGTAAGGGTGAAACTTGATAGCTCTCTGAGCCTCACCAAAAGAAAGGGGGGTTAGCACCCTTGTGCCTCTTTTTCTCTCTCTTTCGCATCTCTCTCATATGGGCCCAAGCCCAATGACCGAAAGTCAACACCCCAATGCCTAACCCAAGTCAAGCCCTAGCTTGCCTTTGTGACCCATATCGCTACAACCAATCCTCGGCTCGAGCTGAGTCACTGCCACACCAAGCCAACAACAGCAACCCCACGACTGCAACAATGTTGTGGCTACCCAGCCATTTTTTGACACATCCCTGATGATAAGATTAAAAGCACACCACAAAGTAGCACACAAACATCCTATTGTAGCATATGAAAATAAGGATCTTTCCCGCAAAAGAATGTTTTATCTAACTACTTAAAATGTCACAAAAACTAGGTTGCTGTCCCTACTGACCAGCCACCGAAAAATAATTATTAGACCAACTTACACTTATCTAAAGTCTACGAAGTTTTATATGAAGACATTAGAAACAGAGCTACACTCACGCAAATTTTTGGGATTTTTGGAGTTGATTTTCTATTTAAATTAAATCGAACAAAAACATGACATAAACAAATTTTAAATAGTTCACAAATTAAGAAAAATGAGTTAGGGGAATTGCTATCCACCACCAAATAATCATGCAAACATGTTATTTTTCATTCAAATTCCTTTTATTTCCGGATGAAGATGCTCAAGTTGGCTCAATGTTAGAACTCAACCTATTACTCCTTCTTATGTAGTATGTTAAGAGAATGGCGTTTTCAACTTAACTTAGTTCCTAGCATGCAATTTAGAATGGTGTGTTCATAGATTTAACAAGTAGAAATCATTAAGAACAAAAATTTTACAGCTCTGATTGCTCACACTAGTTGCCGGTAGAAAATTTATTTTCCGATGCCTGCACTCGTCTGAAAATTTCGACAACGTACCTGAAAATGAGCATCCCATCCCACTGACAATAAATGTCCATCATCAGGTGAATGGCATCAACATATATATATCAAACAAGTACTATCAAGACCAACTTTATACACCTTTCCAGAACAAGACCGTCCATGTTCAAAGCACAACGATGACCTCACTAACGGTGTACATGTCACCCGTTTGAAATAGAGAGGAACCCTCAAAGAAGAATTTACATGATCCAGTTCCATCGATAAGACTCAAATCCTATGTTCTATAAATCTCGTTTTCTAATGTATACAGACATCGAAAATGAACTTATTTACGTAAAAGCTTCGTGCAGACAAAATGGCCATCCATATTTACAGCTTCTGAAAATATGGGATGCTGCTTGAAAAATTTCAGCAGCTTGGATTATGTTATGTCCACATATGTATGGAACAACAGTATCCAAAGCACCTCTGGTTTCTTTTCTGGTGGTGATTATCCTGCTGATATACTGAGCCTCATCACTTTGAATGCTCTTGATGCCAAAATTAGGCAGGCTCATGAGGACGAGTAGCCCAGAGCGAGCTCAAGGCCCGAAGGCGTTGGAAGTACTCTCCCAAGGCAAGAAGGCCTCGAGCAGCCTGGCGGGTTGTGAGGATGCGCGACATCTGCTGTAAGGTCTCCCGCCGAATATGATCAGCCTGTTTGGGTAAAAATATCATTTAGTCAGAAAACATGGAATAATAAAACTTCAACAGGAAACAGTTGGATGGTGGCATATAACATTACCTGGGTCACAAAGCTCACGAGAGCTTCCAATCTCTCCATGGCATTGGCCATCTGCGGGACATAACTGCCTTCGCCCAGTTGACCAGCTGCCACAGTCTCGGCCAGAGTGTGCTGGAGTTTATCCATACCTTGCGAAAGAGCATCTTCTGCTTGTTGACATGATTGTCTAAGGTTGTGAACATCCAAAGCTTGTTGGTCTGTCAACGGGTCAAGGTGAGGCTGAAGAACCTGTAATATATATACTCAAATTCAGGAACTTAGTGTTCAAAAAATATGCTAAATGAAATTGTTGCATTGAGGGATTTCCAATAGAACAGTAAGGCCATGTTTTGGCGAGGGATTTCCAAATCCCAAGAGATTGAGGCCAAGTAAGTAACAAATGAACCACAAAATGTTAGTTATAGGAGATTAGTAATGAGACTTGCAAAGACATGTACGAGAGATTTGTAAATGATCATTTCAAGGAGTGATTTCCAAATCCCTCTAATCCCCTCTATCTAACAGTTTGAGGTCCGTTCCTTACTAAAAATGGCCTATCTAACAGTTTGAGGTCTGCTCCCTTGGGATTTGAATGTCCCTCACCCAAACATAGATTACCTTAAGAATCTCTGAAGGGCGAAACCCTCCAATCCATGAGAAAAACCGTTCAGCTGATGTTTCCCACACCCCAGACACCACATAGAAAACGTCGGCTTTCGCAGCAGTTGATTTCATGCTGAAAAGCTCAAAATAGTGATTCATGCCACTATCCACAAGGAATCGAAGCTCCACATCACTTATACAAGCGTGCAAAGCAGTCCTCAGTTCACAAATTTGCCTGTTTTGTTCTTCCATCCATTGTCCATACTCCATCTCAAATGTTGTTACGCCTGCAGAACTTGGAGTTTCAAATTTTAGAATACGAGGACATGTAATAAAGGCAATGACACAACACAATGAAGATATAGCAGAAAGCATACTAACAAATAAACCTGAGTTTATGGTGCCAGAAAATCCAAGAGGATTACTATCCAGTCCACCGCCAATATACACGCCCTGCTATAATTTACAAGGAGAGAAGTTATATCAATTATTTTTTTTCTTCGAAATCAATCAATAAATTGTTATTACATAAAAGCAAGGTAATCTCCTACCAACCTGTTGTCTTGCTCGGTCAAGTTCTTGCTCTAATTGAACAAGCTTCAAACGACTTGTTTCTAACTGCTGAACATAGGCCTGTGTAGGAAAACTCATAAAATTAGTCCATTGTATCACTAGTTGCATGTATGATATCCTTTTAAATACATAGTACACTTCCTACCTTCTTTCGCATCCGACTTTTACGAGCAGCCTCCCGATTTTGTGCAAGACGTCTTTGTACCTAAATATTCGACACATAAATAATGTCTAAGCTGCTGGTGTGAAAGTACTAGCTACCATGATGAATTTTACTTCAACTAATACTTCACCAATCTCATTCTCCATTCATGAATCATGACTAATCTCTGAAATCGTGAACATTAACAAAACAAGCATGACAATAAAAGAGGAATTGCAGGTCATTCCACCTCTTAACCTATATTGTGAGACTCTTTCATCAAACTTTAAAAAAATTTTGATCTGTAAATCTGTATTTCTTGACGACGTGCAAAAAATGACAACAGATCATGAAAAATTATAAAGTGGGCATATATCGAAATGAAATATCTATATATCATAAAGAAGAATCATCAGCGAAGAGTCAGAAGCGATGCTGGCAGTACAGTTACCTACATGCTTTGTTAAAGAAAGAAAAGAGGTCACCATGAGCGTCAAGCAGAATTCCGGAGTTCTTACCTTGTCCGTAGGTTTAGTTGTTTCTTGGTCATACTTGCTAGAAGGTCCCAGAATTCCATGGGAAGTGTCCTCTGACTGGAGAAATCCAATGACAACAAAAGAGTTGAGAAAACAGACCAACATGGGCGTACGTGCGCCAGGAAACAAGAAGAAAAAGCATAAATTGCAAAAGTTCACCTGGTTATGTAGTTTAATGTCTTCATCCAGTATCATGGATGCCGAGGCATTAAAATTGCCACTACTCCTAAAGCTTTCATCCCACATGCTAATTTGGTGGATAGGCTCATACACTCCCATCCTTCTTGAGGTGACAAACTGGGTGGATGGAGAATTCATGCTACTGGCAATGGAAGAAACCCAATGAACATTTTACACATATAAAAGTCGATCGATATGCCAAAACCGATATCCATCTAAAATAAGGTCTATATGTATACGAATTCAAACGTAAGTAATAGTATACTGGAATTGCTAAATAGTAAAACAAAAAAAAAGCTGCATTACAATTTGATAAAAATAGAGAGAAACAAGTATATCCCAAAACTCCGATGGGACGGAACCTCACAGAAGTATCCGTAGCTTCTGAAGAAATTATCACTAGTGTAGAGTTGCTAAGGTGATACACACACACACACACATATACATATATATATATATGTATGTATGTATGTATATACATATGCATCATATAAAACGATGGAATAACTTTAAGCTTTGAGAAGCATCATGGTTTCCTATACTTTAAGCACAGAAACGAAACGTTGTTATACCATATAAAATATTGTATCATGCGTTGAAACTGCACAACACCTGAACAGAGAGAGAGAAGGAGATGGAAGAAGCAGGCAGAGGTGGAAGGACGGCATATATTTTGAGATTGGGACACAATACTAATTAAGTCAACCCAACAACAACTACAAACAAACTAGTTGCTTTACTTTTCTTCTTCTTCTTCTGCTCCCTATTCTCGGAAACCAAACATCTCTTCCCAGTTCCCCCTTCTTCCTTCCCACAAAAACAAAAAAACAAAAGGAAATCAGAAACTCACTGAATATCTGAAACTGAAGCAGAGCAATTGGAAGTTGAATCGGAAACCCTCGCTCTAGCTGCTGCTGATCTCGGTAGACAGTCTCAGCTCTGCAAGTCCCATCATCGACTTTGATAGAGAGAGAGGGAGAGAGAGAGAGAGAGAGAGAGAGCACGACAGCTTATTATAATAAAATAGACAAAATTTTCAACCTTCTAATCCCCCTATTATTCTAATTCAATCTTTCTCATTAATAAATAAATATATTCGCAATCACTTATTCATCATTCACCATTGCAACTTGTTGCTTCCTCTAATGCTTCAAATCACTGCTCCACTCCCTCCTCCATCCTGCTTATATATATTCATGTGCTCATTATTTTCATTCAATATTATCATTCATCATTGTTTTGGTATTTCGAGTCTTCTGGCCAATTCCTCATTTAATATATTTCCTTTTCTTTTTCGAACAAAAAAATTCTCACTTTGTTTTAAAATATAAAATAAATAAAAACAACTTTCCCATACAACCCTTAACTACTTTTCTCACGCCCCCTCCTTATTTTTTTAGTACGTAATTAGTATCTTACTATTTAATCTTTCATGTATATCCCTTCCTATTTAATTTTTCATTAATTACCATAAAAAAGTAGGAATGGTATATATGAAAGATTAAATAGTAGGATACCAATTAACTATTAAAAAATAAAGAAGGATGTGGGAAAAGTAGTCAAGGTGTGAAAGTCACAACCCTATTTCAAACCAATTAATATTTGTGTTCTTTCTCTGCTGCTGTCTGAGAGCTAGTGTGAATGTGGGTGTTAAACAGAACAGAGAGTGTGTGTGTGACAATGTCAAAGATTAAGATCAACGAACGAGCGTCGTAATCCTCATCCTCCCACAATAATCCTCATCCTCCCACAATAATATATCGCACCCACAAGAGTTTTTTTAATATGATCGATAAACGAGGTGGTACATCATGTGTCATTATACAAATTATAAGATTCGTGTATTAAAAAATTAATAACTTAAAAAATAAAATTTTCTACCACTTATATAAAAATAAATGATATACCACCGGTGTTCCTGTCACAATAAAAAATTTCTCCTCATCCATGCTAATGTGCGCACTAGGTGGATGGCTCTCCTACGTCTCTACTAAGTTCCTAACCTACGCTTTTGACCTAACTACGCACCCCTCGAGTGTCCGCTCGCGTCGTATTCCCGGTTTGTTTGAGGAGAGCATTGGGTTCGGAGGGCGTTTGATGTAAACGCGCCATGTAGAGGCGTGAACAAGTACGTAGAGGAAGTGAGGGGAGTTGATAATTTCGCGGGAATGGAGTGGCAGTTTTTGGAGGTGGGGTCGGCTTTGCCGGCTCTTGTCTAATTGTCTAATTTGTGTCAATGGTCTAAAATATTCATAATATTTCAATATTTTCACTAAAATATCTGTGTTTTTAGACTATCGATATTTTAGATCTTGCTAAGTCCTCATGTATCTTACCATACAATGTATAAAGTGTAAAATATTGTACTAATTCATTATATATAAATGATTATGGTGTGTTTAAACTTCTTTCATTAATTACTACATATTTTCTACACTCACAATATTTGCCAGCTCACTATATAATCAACTTAAATCAATTATATCTATCATGCAATGCATTTCCTTTCAATTTTTTGTGATAAACTAATAGATATTTGACTAAATAAACATCCTGCAAAGTTTCAATAAAAATTTCCAAGTTTTTTTTTACAATTTCCGTGGTTTTTATTCAATTTTTATCGATATTCATAATATCTTGATATTTCCATCGAAATTTCCGTGTTTTTGGATTACCGATATTTCCAATATCATCGATATTTTATACCTTGTTTATCTCTAATTTGGGTTTGCTGTTGGGGTTTGAACCTTTTTTAGAGTGGGAACAGGAACGGCTACAACAATATTCAGACTGCTTGTTTCTCGCTATTTCAATTTCAATTTCAATTTTCACCGTTTAATACAACGGTCTAGTAGTATTCATTTTTTCTATAAATGAGAGGTCTTAGATTCGATTCTCACTAAAGACGAATTTGAACCACATTATTGTTAATTCATTGTGAGGTTAAACACATCCTCTCTCCCTTAGTTTAAAATACATAGATAATATCGTTTATTCAAAAAATAAAAATTTCAATTTCAATTTTCAAGCCAACTCTACAAAAAGAACTACATGGTAGATATATGAATTCTACAATGGATATTTTTTTGCTGCTTCCTACTATAGGATATCTCGGACATTTAAATCGTTAAATTTTTTTATCAAAATTTAAAATATGTGACAGTTAAAAGCTATAGATATTGTATACTCCAGTGTACCACCAAAATAAAAGTTTATTGAAGCAAAACCACAAGGAGAAACGACTTGTCCCATAAAAGGAAGGAACATATCATATTGCCACTAGAAATTAGTATTACAAGACATTAAAACTATGAAACCCAAAAACCAAACCGAATTGTAAGAAAAAAACCGTGAAAAATTGTGTTGACCAAAAATGTCAAAATCAGATTAAAAACCTGACCGATTCAGATCATACCAATTTTGGTCTTGATTTTGAAATTCATGAAACTGTCTGAAACGAACTGGACCAAGTGAATTAAATTATTATTATTATTATAATTTTTAATTTAATGTTGTAGGCCTTTGTAGTACCATACCTAAAGCCCATATCCATTAAGTCTTTGTTTTTATCTATATATTCAGGCCTAATACAAAAAAGTCTAAATGTAACTCCAAATCAATTTAGCACTGTCAACCAAGCCCAAAATCTAGTCAATGTTTCAAACCCTAAGTTATCATAACCTTTCATTCATCTCTCAACTATCATATTCTCTCTCTCTCTCTCTCTCTCTCTCTCTCTCTCTCTCTCCCTCTTTCTCTCTCTCTTTTTCTCTCTTTTTTTTCTCTTTCCCCCTCTCCATCTCCCTCTCTCCCCTTCTCCCTATTTCTCTCTCTCTCTCTCTCAATTTTCACAGTCTCTCGATTTTCTGTTTCTTTCCCCTCCCAGTGCGATTTAGGCACTGAAAGGCGATGCAAAAAGAAGATGGAGCAATGCTTCAACTTCTCTCCTCATCCTCCCTCTCAGACCATCGCGCTTCCCTCACATATACGGTCTCTGTTTAACTATGTTTTGGGCTTCTCATAAAGTTTAAAATAAAAGGCAAATGAAATGAGCTAAGACCCAGAACCGTTTGGAAACCGAATTAGACCTGAAACCTTATGGTCCGATTTGATTCGGGTTTTTTTTTATTACTATTGATAAGAATCAAATTGGACTAAACCTTAGTTTTTTTGGGTTCCAGTACCGCTTTGAGAGGTGAACTGGACTAAACCGAACAATGCCAACTCCTAATTAAATAAACAATAGAGTAACAAATTATTTCAAATTTTCAATATCAACTAATGTGTAAGGGTGAATTGACATGCCCTGAAATCGAGTACATGAGTGCCACGACTTATTTGACAATGTAATGTGTTAACGCTCAAATATGGTGACGTCAACAAAGGATAAGCATGGTCAACCTTGGTGGGTGAGAGTTTGTTGGAAGTATGCCCACAAAGCTACTCATTTGATGTAATAGCTTTTTATAATACTTCTTGTGTTAAACTATTATATGTTTAATGAAGAGCAAAGCTTATTGTTAATCACTATTTATTGTATTATGTTAACTCAAGCGTGAGTATGACTAGTCCCAAGCGTGAGTATGACTCGTTTGCAGAAGGTTATAAGACGAGATTTTGGACTATTTAGAGGTCTTGCTTGAGGATGCCATTGATGAAGAACGAAATGATCTAAGGGAATTTTGAATTGGTATATGAAGAAAGTTTGAGCATTTTTTTCCTTGAGTGATTTAGAGGCTTTGGTAAAGCGAAAGGAAAAGATTTGGAATATAGACTGACTCACCTTGGCATTAGCAAATCCAACGGTTAAAATCAGTGAAGAATATCGAAGGTAATTTCTTACTTTTCTTGCGCACTTAATGAGCATAAAGTTTCATCATTGTGAACTTTAAGGCACGTTATTCAAGGTTGTGCATCTGAATCTGAAACATCAATATTGCACTCCAAACATTGGATCACCAAATGAAGAAAGAAGATTAAAAACGGTATGTATTCTAGCTTACTCTTAAAGACATGGTTTTTGGATAACTATCCATCCTCAAAGGGAACAAGTTGCCTTTCAGATACATAGTTAGAGGCAATTATGGGACCATGATTTTCTAAGGGCGGAGTAAAGCTGATTCGAATATCGATACCTCAGAAGTGAGGTCATGAAATCACTAGCTACAAGCAGAGCGGGATCAGACGGGGCAATGGTGCCACCATCATCCTGTTCTAAGGCAATAGGCAAAGTCCAAGCAACTCCGCTGGATAACCATACTTGTTCGGCAAGATAGAAGATCTGATTCAGATATGGACACAACCAGATTCTTCATAAATCTAGGAGTTCCTACAATCTAGGTATTGGCATGCACCATAAGTAATCACAACTCCTAGAGGGTGCAATACCTACTTCTAGATATCCTCTAGGATTCTCCCAGCTTTGAATAAGGATTCTATCCTAAAAAGGTCTGTCCCTATAGAAAATACATACACATAAGGTTCATGTCTGGTAACGCAATCTCAACACTTTAACTCTCTTGCTCACTGCTTGAGTCTAAAATTACTTACTAACTTGAATGTCACAGAGCCTTTGGCCAGTACAGCCATCTTCTGTCTTAGGCTTGCTCCCGATTGTTCTTTATTTCGCAGGTTACTCGAATTTGTGGCTCCACCATCAACGGCGGTGAGCAGATTTGGTTCCAACAATCATCTCTATAAAAACAACTCATAAAATATAAGATCATTTAGTCATCGAACTGCAGAAAAACGTATAATTAGAATTGAAAAAAATAAATAAAAGTGTTATGAACCATTTAGCTATTTTCTGCAGTTAATTGACTAAATGACCTTTATTTTCATTGACTTTTTGCACATATGATATTTGCAGAATGACATACAACGTTGATGATTCCAATCACAAACAAAAAAAATTGTGAATTAATTATAAAGCATTCTCATTTTTTGAGTAGCCAATGCTTATTCAAATAAAAAAGGAAAACAAATACAAAGTTGCATTTGCTTAGCACTTTGTAACGAAGGAGAATTCTCTCTCCTCCTATTTATCTCCCCTCATATCTCCTCCTTTCTTTCCAGCCATTCATTTTATTGCCAAACTAATTCAAAGCTCAAGATTAGGCCACATCACTACTTAGACTTATAATTGAAAAGAACAGGGAAGTGAAAAGCTATAGAAAGAAAGGAGGAGATGGGAGAGGAGAAATAGGAG